GTATGGGAGATGAAGCCGGAAGCAGCCTGTTCCTACTGCAGGATATAGGGCCAGCATGAGGGGAGTCAGGAGCCCCAGCTACAGCAGGAGAGAGGACTTGACCATCACCCAGAAGAAGGCACCTATTCTGCACCAGGAAGCAGGGTTACGCAATCTATGCCCAACCCCAAATCTGGGTAGCCCTCATCAGAACCAGCATACAAGTAGTCTGTGCCTGAACCACAAAAGAAGACAAGGTCAGATACTTCCTGAAGAAGGCAGAATCCTAGTTTTCATCACTGATCTCAAGATTAAGCAGAGCCTGACTATACCATCGAGGAGTATAAGAGCAGAATGTGACTCAAACATAAGCCCTCAAACCAGAATCTGAGGCTGCAGATAGGAATAAACAGAAGAAAATGCTGAACATAATGAAGGAATGACTTGGGCTTAGAGAAACCAAAGAGGTAAAACCAGAAGAGAGTAACTCTACAACATATCCAGGCAGAGCCTCAGAGAATAGAAAGTCCTGGGCACAAGGATTACAAGAGTAACTGAAAGAAATGAAAAGAGATAGAAAACAGAATAGCTAGAGAGAAAGAATGGGAAGCAGAATTAATATCTTGGAAGAGATAGTAGTAAGTCTTACCCAAGAATTGAACTTTTTGAAAATTAGAACGGAACAAACAGAAAATAATTCAATGGGACAAGAAATATTAAGCAAAATAAAAAGATTTAAAAAAAGAAGAAAAGGTAAAGTATATATTATCAAAAACAGCTGACCTGAAAAACAGGTTGAGGAGAATTAATTTAAGAATCATTGTACTACCTGAAAAGCATGATAAAAAAGCCTGAACACCATATTTTAAGAAATCCTAATGAAAAGTGTCAACATTTCTTAGAAGCCTAGGACAAAGTAAAAATAGAATCCAACAGTCACCTCCTGAAGGAAACCACAAAATAATAACTCCCAGGAACATTATAGAAAAAGTCCTGAGCTTTCAGGACAAAGAAAGAATACTGCCAACAGCAGAAAAAGAAGCTCAAGAACCAAGGAGCCATAGTCAAGATCATATATGAATTGACAGCTGCTATCCTAAAGGAGAGGAGAGTCTAGGATGCGTTATTCCAAAAGGGAAAAGATAAAGACTTTCAACCAAAAATAACCCATCTAGTTTGTTCCAAAGACCGTGATGGCGACTAAAGCAGGTGCTTTGTAATACTTAGAGCTCAGTTAGGAAGGTTATCCACTGCATCTCGGATCATCAGCAGTCATCGTGACTTTTGTTCTGCACTTGGATGACTCAAGAAGACAGAGTGAAGCTGACAATTTTGTGCAACTCTGCCTCACTTAAATCCAATTCACCCACAAGTCAAGACATCACTCCGTGATGTCATTAGTCCTCTTCAAAAATGAAGGAGGAGCAACAACATCCTGTCCAGTAAAATGGATTTTTAATGAAATAAAAGATTTCCAAGCTTTCTTGACAAAGAGAAAAAAATGTGGAAAGGTACTCAGATAATACTTTGGAAAACACTATGTGAGGATCAGTCATTTTTATGCTAATAAGGGGAAAGAAACAAGTGTTACCTTAGAGTCCCAAATGTCTTCAAGTGTCATGGGAAAAAAAATTGAGTAAGACTGGCAGAAAAATTGAGAATAGTTTAATTCTTTATTGATGACCTTAAAAAGAAAAGAAAGAAATAGGAGGGCTAGGGGATGGAACTCCCTAACTCATGTATGTATGAGATGAAGCATATACAGTTGGAGAAAAAGTGAAGTGGGGGGAGGGAATTCTATAAACCTCAATTTCATCTGAACCAGATGAAGGAACATTGAACCATTACTTTAAACTCAACAGGGAAATAAGTAGAGAGACAGAGGGAAGAAGGGGGTTTAAGATGGAGGGCAAAATAGCTGAGAGAGTAGTCATAAGCCAAATAAACTCATATGGGAGGAGGGAGTATGAAAGGAGATTAAAAGGGAAAAAAAATGAAAACCTGTAATCAGGCAAGGGAAAGAAAAGTTACAGTGGAGTGGAAACATCTCATTTATAGATCACAAATGTTGGACAAACTACTCTTTCACCACCTCCTTCTTTGTAAAGATAGGGGGCAGAGGAAAAGGTACAAAAAGAATAAGATAGAGGGAAATATACAATTAATAACTCTAACCATAAATGTTAATGACGTGAACTCAGACAAGGCAATAGCAAAAATAAGACAAAAAGAGGTAAGCAGGAAAAATATACTATGTTTAAAGGTAAATAGATAATAAATATTAGCACTTTATATATTCATGAGGTATCATAACTTCTGAACACTTGAAAGAAAATGTGATCAAATTACAGTAAGAAAATGTAGTGCAAAGCTATACAAATGTATTATATACATAATATACTATAAAATATAGTAAAAACTCTGATACTGGGGAACTTCAAGGTAGCCCCTTTAAAGGCTAGAAAAAGCTATCAAAAATTATACAAAAGAAGTTAAGGATATAAATAGAACTTTAAACAAAGTAGACATTTTCAATCTCTGGCCATTACTAAATGGGAATAGAATGGAATTTCTATACTGTTCAGCTATAATAGCACTTTTTAAAAAAAATTGACCATGTGTTGAGGCACAAAATCTCTCAAATTATTGCAGAAAAACAAGAATATTTTACAAATGCAGCATATTAAAAATTACATTCAATAAGATGCCTTTGAATAAAACATTAAAATGAATTGGCCACTAAGTAACTTAATCCTAATGCATTGGTGGTTTAAAGAACAAATCATTGTAATAATAATAAATTCATCAAAGCAAATGACAGCAATGAGATGGCATGCCAAACTCATGACTCCTTTTTTATTTTTTATTTTTTTCCAAATCTCTTTAATTTTTATTTTTTTTAATTTTTTTTCCCATATGCTTTTGAGTTGAAAATTTTTTCTCCCTTTTTCTCCCCCCCCCTCCCCAAGATGGCACACAATCTGACATAGGCTTTACATTTACATACCCATTAAACATATTTTCACATTAGTGAAGTTGTAAGTAAAAATTAAAACCAATAGGAGGAACCATCAGAAAGATGAAACAAAACTCAACAGAAGGTAAAAATAAGTGAGAGCGATTCGACTTCCATACTTCTTTCTTTGGATGTGGACAGCATTTTCCATCCCGAGGCCTGTGGAGATGTCTTAGATCCTCGTAATGCTGAGAAGGGTTCAGTGTAACTTTCTTAGTCATTGCATAATGTGGCTGCTATTGTGTACAAAGTCCTCTTGGTTCTGCTCACTTCACTCAGCATCAGACTATATAAGTCTTCCCAGGTTTTTCTGAAGTCAGCCTGTTCATCATTTCTTATAGCACAATAGTATTCCATTACATTCATATACCACAACTTGCTCAGCCATTCCCCAATGGATGGGTATCCTCTCAATTTCCAATTCTTTGCCACCGCAAAAAAAGCTGCTATGTATATTTTTGTATGTGTGGGTCCTTTTCCCATTTGTTTGATCTCTTTGGGATATAGCCCTAGAAGTGCTATTGCTGGATCAAAGGGTATGCACATTTTTGTAGCCCTTTGGGCATACTTCCAAATTGTTCTCCAAAATGGTTGGATCATTTCACAACTCCACCAACAATGTATTAGTGTTCCAATTTTCCCACATCTTCTCCAACATTTATCATTTTCCTGTTTTGTCATGTTGGCCAATCTGATAGGTGTGATGTGGTACCTCAGAGTTGTTTTGATTTGCATTTCTCTAATCAATAATGATTTAGAGCATTTTTTCATATGACTATAGATGGCTTTAATTTCTTCATCTGAGAACTGTGTGTTCATATCCTTTGACCATTTATCAATTGGGGAATGGCTTGTGTTCTTATAAATTTGTCTTAATTCTCTATATATTTTAGAAATGAGGCTTTATCAGAAAGACTGGTTGTAAAAATTCTTTCCCAATTTTCTACCTTCCTTCTAATCTTAGTTGCATTGGCTTTGTGCAAAAACTTTACAACTTAATGTAATCAAAGTTATTATCCATTTTGCTTTTCATAATGTTCTCTATCTCCTGCTTGGTCATGAATTCTTCTGTTCTCCATAGATCTGATAGGTAAACTATTCCTTGTTCTCCAGTTTGCTTACAGTATCAGCCTTTATATCTAAGATGAACCATTTTGACTTTATTTTGGTATATGGTGTGAGATTTGGTCTATGCCTAGTTTCTGCCATACTCTTTTCCAGTTTTCCCAGCAGTTTTTTCAAAGAGTGGTTCTTATCCAGAAGCTGGGGTCTTTGGGTTTATTCAAATAATAATTTCCTGAGTCATTTAACTCCTGTGTCTTGCATATTTAACCTATTCCCCGGATCCACACTCTATTTCTTAGCTAGAACCAAGCAGTTTTGATGATTGCTGCTTTATAATACAATTTAAGATCTGGAATGCTAGGCAACCTTCCCCTGCATTTCTTTTCATTAGTTCCTTTGATATTCTGGACCTTTTGTTCTTCCAAATGAATCTTGTTAATATTTTTTTCTAACTCTATAAAATAGTTTTTGGTAGTTTGGTATGGTACTGAATAAGTAAATTAGCTTAGATAGAAATGTCATTTTTTATTATATTAACTCAGCCTACCCATGAGCAACTGATGTTTTTCCAATTATTTAGATCTGACTTTATTGGTGTGAAAAGTGTGTTGCAGTTGTGTTCATAGAGTTCCTGAATTTGTTCTGAGAGGTAGAATCCTAAATATTTTATAGTGTCTACAGTAAGTTTAAATGGAATTTCTCTTTCTATCTCTTGCTGTTGGGCTTTGTTGGTAATATATAGAAATGCTGATGATTTGTGTGTGTTTATTTTATAGCCTGCAACTTTGCTAAAGTTGTTTATTATTTCAAGTAGTGTTTTACTTGATTCTCTAGGATTCTCTAAGTATATCATCATATCATTTGCAAAGAGTGATAGCTTTGTTTCTTCTTTGCCTGTTCTAAATATCTTCAATTTCTTTTTCTTCTCTTATTTCTAAAGGTAACGTTTCCAGTACAACATTGAACAACAGTGGTGATAATGGACATCCTTGTTTCACCCCCGATCTTATTGGAAATGCTTCTAACTTGTCCCCATTACATATGATGCTTGCTGAAGGTTTTAGATAGATGCTACTTTTTATTTTAAGGAAGACTCCATTTATCCCTATGCTCGCTAGTGTTTTTAATAGGAATGGGTGTTGTATTTTGTCAAAAGCTTTTTCTGCATCTGTTGACATGATCATGTAGTTTCCATTAGTTTTGGAGTTGATATGATCAATGATGCTGATAGTTTTCCTAATATTGAACCAGCCCTGCATTCCTGGTATAAATCCTATCTGGTCATAGTGTATTATTCTGGTGATAAGTTGCTGTAATCTGTTTGCTAATATTTTATTTAAAATTTTTGCATTTGTATTCATTAGGGAAATTGGTCTATGATTTTCTTTCTCTGTTTTGACTCTAACCAGTTTAGGTATCAACACCATATTTGTATCATAAAAATAATTTGGTAAGACTTCTTCACCTATTTTCCCAAATAGTCTATGTAGTATTGGAATTAATTATTCTTTAAATGTTTGTTAGAATTTGCTTGTAAATCCATCTGGCCCTGGAGATTTTTGACCCCTTTTTTGTAATATAGTTTGAGGTCCGTAAGCCCCATTCCCCCTTTAATTCCTACTTTTCATCATTTCTCTTAAAATTTTCTAAATCTTTTATTTTTCCAAATGAATTTTGTTTATATGCATTTGATAATTTGGTCATTATAATTCAAAACTATAAATAAATATATTGTTTATGTGTATGCATTATATATAAATAATTTACACATAAATATATAAATAAATATAAATATAGTATGTATCATAATTTTTAAAATATTGGCACGGACAAGCCACAAGCATTGACTGTTCCTCTAGATATTTAAGTTTTTCTTTATTACTTTAAGGAGCACTTTGTAGCTGTATTGTGTATATTTGTGTGTATTGGTAGATCAGTCCTCAGATATTTTGTGAATTCTGTAGTTGTTTGGAATGGAATTTCCCTTTGTATTATTGCCTATTGGATTTTGTTATAATTTCATCTTAGTTTGACTATTTTATGTTTTTAAATGTATTTCTCTATTTTTGGTGTTATCAGTTTTGTTAAAATATAGTTATGCATAGTGAGCTAAGATAAAATTTAAAATTTTGTCTTTATTGTGATATAACCTTATTCATTTGCTTTTGTTGATTTGATTATCTACTTTTTCAAATTATGTCCCCTAAATGTTTGTTAACTTTATTATTCTTTTTTTAAGAATTGGTTTTAGTTTTATTTATCATTTCTATATTCTATAAATGTTTTTGTTTCTAGTTTTTCTATTTGTCCTCTGTTTTTAATATATATACTTTCAAGCTTACTTTAGCTTTATTTGTTGGCTTTTTGAATTTTTAAAGGCATACTCTCTTCATTAATCCTCTTCTTTTCTATTTTATTAATGTATGTTTGTAGGGATATGTTTTTTTTCCCTTTGAGAAATACTGCATCACACAATTTTTGGTATGTTGTTTCATTATTATCATTTTCTTTCATGTAGTTATTATTTCTATGGTCAATTATTTCACTTTTCGTTGTTAAGTCTTCATTTGGATGTATGTCTTTTGTTTCATGAACTGATTACTATTTTTATTTCATTAGGGTGTGTAAAAGATGTATTTACTATTTCTGCCCTTTACAAATCTGGTTGCAATATCTCTGTGCCCTAATACATGGTCATTTTTTCTAATAGTTGCATGTATTGCTGAGAAATACATCTGCTCTTTAGCAGTCCCATTCAGAAAACACTGTTAAGTCATTAAGCTCCAGTTTTCCCTGCAGTTTGCTTTCCATTCTGTATTTTCCCTTTTGTTTATATTTCTGTTAGATTTGTCCAAAACAGGAAAAGACATTAAGATCTTCTGCCATTAATGCATTATTGCCTGTGTGTGTGTGTGTGTATTCTTATAATTCAAGTATTTTTCATTTATAAATTTAGGTGGTATGACTGGAGGATATAAGTTTAATATCATATTGATTTTTTTCCTATGGTTCTTTTCTTTTTGCTCTCTCTTTTTTTAATTTAAAAAAAATTTTTCCTTTTATTAATTTATTTTTCTTCTTCAACATTCACTTCCATAAGATTACCAGTTCCAAATTCTCTGCCCATCTCACCCCTCTCCCCACCCCAAGAGGGTGTGCATTCTGAATACCCCTTCCCCTAATCTGCCCTCTCTTCTATCTCCCCTCCCTTCTCTTATCCCCTTCCCATTCTATTTTCCTGTAGGGCAGGATAGATTTCTATATCTGTGATGCTTTTCAACATACATTTATGAGATCTAAATATTAGAGATTATGCCATAAAAAAGCAGGCCCAGATAGGTTAAATGCCTCGTCTAAGTTCTCAAGAGTAGCATATGTCGGAGGCCAGTGCTCTTTCCACTAAACAACTGTGTTTCCTTAGGCTAGCGTAATTGGATGCAAATAATATTGTACCTCTCTGGGCTTCAGCTTACTCATTTGTGAAGTAAATGATTAGAATAGAATCTAGTGGCCTTGAGGCCACATGTAGTCTTCTAGGTCCTCAGGTATGGTCCTTTGACTGAGTCCAAGTTTTACAGAACAAATCCTTTTAAGGGGATTTGTTCTATGAAGTTTGGATTCAGTCAAAGGGCCACACTTGAGGACCTGGAGGGCCACATGTGGCTTTGAGGCCTCAGGTTCCCCACCCCTGGACTAGATAATTCATAAAAATGTTTGTCACTCAAATATTTTATGACTCTATAAGATATTTTCTGATAGCAAAGATGAAATATACATACACATATATATGTATATGTGGACTGTTTGTGCCTTACTTGTGGTAGAATCTTCTGAGCTCATATTGGTCTGATCAGTCACAGTTGGATACATGGTACTTTTATGTACACATGCATAGTGATGTCATTTTGTTCTTCTTCAGGAATGAAGCACAACAACCAACCAACCAATATACATGTCTATATAGGAGTATATTATAGGAGTATATATGTGTATATATATATGGTGCATATATGTATGTATATATAGGAGTATATATGGGAGAGTATATGTATATACACACATATTTGTCAGTGATATAACCATTATATATATATATATATATGTATATATATATATATATATATATATATGTATATATATATGTATATATATGTATATATATATGTATATATATATATATGTATATAATATATAATTATATATATATATATATATATAATATATTATATATATATAAAATTATGTCATTGAGACATGGGAAACCAGAAATAAGAAAAAAATTTGTAATTTGTCCATCCAAACAATTTTTAAAGTGTAGGCTGGACTAAAACTAAGAATTGTTGATATTCAGTTGTTGGAAAAGGCAGTTTTACCAATAAGAAATAAATGTTAATATGAAATTGTGATCTGGCACATTGAATTCCGTCATCTTTGAGGCCATCTTTTTCATCTTTTAATGGTCCTCCTAAGAGGCTCAGATAATTTTGTTTCATTTAGAATAGACCTAATGTATTTTCTTAAAAACAATAGTTCTAATTTGGGTGGAAAACCTTTTGGTTCAAAATAGCTTTCAAATAATTTAAATATCACTGTGTATGTGTTTCCCCTTAATCTTGGCCTAGTGGAACTCCTGCCTCTTTGGCTAAATAGCCTTATTCTTCCCCTACTGTTTCTCCTCCTCCTTCTTCTCTGCCTCACTTTACATCTTAATGGGATACATCTGTTAGTGGACAAATTGCACAAGATGAGCATAAGGCACTGTTTTCTAGGGTCAGCTAAATTGCCCCTCTAAGTCCATTTGAGCTGGAGAAATGAATCTTCCAAACGCTTAGATTTCTGCCAAAGACAGATAGCTTGGAATATTAGGCTGTATTCAAAGACAATATTTGGTAAATGAAGATGAGGGAGAAAATGAAAATATACTGTTTCAGAATAATGGTGCTTACTACCAATTTATTGAATGGAATGGCTATAGGGGCCATCTTTTCTGAACCCCTAAGTCAAGAGGCATTGTCTTAAAAAGAGATTTCTTTCTAATTTGTGAAGTTCTCTTCATTCACACAGCTTTATGACTGGAAATGGGGCCCATTGTTTCCCCCAAATTGATGCCTGAAACATGGCCCTCCCATGCCACATATGTGATTCATATACTAATGAATAAGGTAGCTCTACATATGCATTCATTCTGGGGACAATCTCTTTGTCCTGGCTCTCTCAAATCCATCTCTTCCACAGGCTACACACTCTGATCCTACAAAAGTTACTTCTCCTCTCTGGTCCTGAATTGTTTCATCTATAAAATGAGCTTCACAGTCATTCCCTAGTCTCTAACACTCCAATCCTATAGATCTTTACTAGGCACAGTTACTGTGGGTCATATGCTCTGCTCATTGTTGAAGATGTAAGGACAACATGCAGCAGTCTCAGCTCTCAAGGAGCCTTCGTTCTCTTGAGATTCTCTACTTTTATGTGATTTATCTACATTTTTAATGTTTCAGACGAGCTGGGTTGGAATGCTGACCAGTTGATGGTCTCGAGGAAGTCACTCCACTTCCCTTGGCCTTCAGTTCCTCACCTGTAAAATGAATGTGGTAGACCATTGGTCTCCACAAGCAATGTCACACACATATTGCTATCAATAAAAAGTTTCTGACCATGTACCCCAAATATGTGTGTATTTACTTGTTTATGAATTATATACATATATATTTCTGTATCAACACTTGTAAACGTTATATAACTTATACAAAAATAAGTATTATAAAAGTGAAATATTTGATCCTACAGTCAATAGGGAGCCACTGGAGTTTATTGAGTAGGAGAGTGACATGGTTAGATCTTTGCTTTAGGAAAATCTGTTTGGAAGCTGTAGAGTATGAACTAGAAAGAAGAAAGCCTTGAGGCAGGGAGTCCAGTTTGAACTGAAGGTCTGAATTAATTTAGGATGTCTGAATTAAACTGAAGGTTATGTCAATAAA